AAAAAAAAAAAACGGTAACCTGGTTGCCGAGTTCACGAAGTGAATTGGCTTGTTTTACAACGTCGTTGCCAAGCGACGAAAACCCAATCCCGATGGCAAACACCGAGGGGGGGGCAGAAGGATGGGTTGCGATGCATGCCTTTAATCAGAGCACTATGCCTTTGCTGAGGCACAAGAGCGATGGTGGTTGGCAATAGGCGCGGTCGTCGGATTCACTACTTACACAAAAAAAGGTCACAACAACCTACACAGCTAAGGCATAGGGTAGTGCCGCGTGTGTGTCAAAGGTCAAAGGTCAGCCCTCCACATGCATCATCATCAGCAGCAGCCAACAAACCACACAGAAGTTCCACACGCACCATCAATCGCACACACCTGAGCTCAATCGTCCCCTTCACGACGGGCAAGCGCTCCCCCCCAGTGTCGGCCGAGTCGATGGCTGGCCGGCGGTCGACGACGGCAAACATGCGAGCGGCGGCGGCTTTCGCAGCAGCAGAGTCGCCAAGGAAGCTCGCCGTCTGCCCCACTCCCTGCAAGGGCCCCGTCGCGGCGAAGCAGCAGCGCGACCGACAAAATGTGGGTGTGAAACGCCGTTCGGCACAACCGCGGAAATAGGGAACGGCATCGACACTAGCACTTCCATGAACACTACTGTTGTTGCAGCTCCGAAACACCAACGAGGGGCTACTGGAATTCACAGCATTACAGTTCTCAACGAATGAATGGGGCAACACGGTTCAGAAACGACCGCGGATATGGGCGAGTTGTTTCATCCGACACCACGGCACCCCTAGAAACCCGACCAATGAGATGCCAACACAAACACTCAAGCGACGTGGGGCTGGTGTAATTTCATTGGTCAGCCGGTAGGGGCGATCGACGCTATCCAACTACCAAGCACAACACGCAAAACTGTTGTGTCCGCCTGACGCGTTTTCATTTGTCAGCCGCTCAGCGCGGTCGATGCCAACTATACCTGTAAACAGACACCCACAGCCATCGATTTCTATCCCGCTGGTAGGCTGACGCCCTCTCGTTGGTGTGCCAGCCGGTTAGCGCGGTCGGTGCACACCACGAAAGCAGCACACACACGCTCAACCCAACGCCCCTACCTGAGATGCCATCATGACCGCCATGAGGCTCTTGAGCATGCGGTCGAAGTGCTCCCTCCCATCGACAACTCGGTGTCCGCCCCACCTGAATGACGGCCACGGCCGACGAACACACACACACCACGGTCATAGCACAAAAACAAAACGAGCGAGCTTCGCTATTACAGGTAGTTTGAACACTAAACACATCACCAACAAACGACTACCATAACCACAGTCCTTCGCTGTCTCTCGCAAGAAGCTGCGTAAGATGGCCGACGTACCCGACGGCCATCGAGCTACCAACATGCTGGCAACTACAGCAGTGGTCCTTGGGTAAGGCCGGTCGCCCTGTTCAAGACTGACGCTGTGTCAGCGAGTGAAACCACGTGGCACCGATGGCGTGTTCAAGCTGCCTCATACTCTCAACAACTCCTGGTGCCGGTTCAAGGCCAGCCAAATCCCCGCGGGCAACATGCGGCCATATTGCAGGGACCACACTACTGCCTGCACCAGCAAAACACACGAGCCACGCACTACGCTTTGCGTCTCCTGGTCTCTGCCTTTCTCTACAGGCTTGCTTGTAGCAGCAAAAACGAAAGTCATGTCTGTACGCTACTCGCCTTCTTCTCTCCCGCTTGCCACTGTAAATGATAAGTTTCTGCGCCTCCTATCTCTCGCTCTCTCTCTCTCTCTCTCTCTCTCTCTCTCTCTATCTCTCTCTTACCAGAACACGAAGCCGTAAGCGCCCAGCGAGATGAGCTGCGACAGCCCGAGTGCCAGCCCGTCGGTCACGCCCCTCTTGAGACCCTCTCTCAGGACCCCCTTTAGCTCCTTGTTGTACATGGCCATCACCTTCCGAGTCAGGTTGAAGGAGGCCACCGTGCGGACGCCGTCGATGGCTTGCACAGCCACCTGGCGGAAAAAACAGAGGGGGGCACGCGGAGCGCAAGATGGCATGGCGGGGGATCAACTAGAAATTCCACACACAAAGCCGCGGAAAACACTCTGAATCTACAAAAACACACCGGCGAGATGAATGATCATCCTTGTATGCGCCCCCTGGTACCGATCGGTTTCCGCAAGAATGGATATGAAAATCAAAATGAACGGGAACGCGCACTTATCTGCACTCGGCTGGCGATATCCGACCCACGACGCATGACTTTTCCAAGATATCCTGCATCGAAGATGGATACCTTTTGCCCATACGGAGAGGGAGGTACAGCACAACTTCTCACCTTTCCGGCCTTGGCGACGGAATCCTGGCTCTTCGTTGCACTGGTGGTTACCACCTTCACCTGTTTTGCAACACGACACAACACCGATGAGATCAACATGGCAGGGGAACCAACAACGACGATTGGTAAAGCACCCAGAACTATGGGGAAACGAGGCGCGACAAAGAATGCACCAGATACCTCAAGTGGTGAATGCCATGCTATGTGTGTGGGCCGAGAAGTTTATTCCGTTTTGAGAGGACACATTTTTGATAACAGTTCGGGATAAACTAGACCCAGGTGCAGATGGAAACATGGTGCCGGTCGTGGAGGCATGCAACTGACTGTGGCACTCTTGGCGCTTGAGGCAAGGCTAAACCCCCTTCCCTCGGACCAAACACAACAGACCACAGAAACCTGAAACACAACAGAAGGCAGAAAGGCAGAGATAAGACAGACAGTAAAACTCGAAGATAGACAGACAGACGGACCTGAATGAAGCCGGCGAAAATGAGAAGAGGCATGATAAAGGCCAGCACGAGCGACAACACCAGGGAGCCGAAGATGAAGGCCACCAGGAAGGCCGTCGTGATGGTGATCAAGTTCTGGTACATCCTGCTCCAAACAAAGCCCAAGCAACGTCAGCGGGGCGACGCGAACCGCAAGCGGAGGGGGGTGGGAGCGGCGGGGTATGTGTGCGCAAAGGAGAGTAGGTATGTGAAGAGAGAGATTGTGTTCAAGATGGGCGTGTCCACCACAAATCAATCCGTCAGCGACCGTACGGGCCCTTGTTAACGCAACACCAGACATCATGGTTGAGCGGGGGATCTTATCCGGCGTTACGAAAGTCGCAAAGCGCTGGGGCATAGATCGTTCATGCCGTATGAATCATACACACCGCTTCCGGCCAGGAAAAATGAGAGAGACATGCATGGGCGGGACAAAATGAGAACCGATATTTCGCTAGCTTGTCGGGACAGCTCTCTAGAGGCACGTTCCCCGAAACACCACCTCCCGTCTCTCTCCTCGACATCGTACCGTGGGTATAGAGCAAGCAGTCGCAGTCACAAGTAATAACGATTGTGTGTCCAACGAACTTACATGTAGACCGCGTTGTTCTCTGGCGCACATCAACCGTATCGGCCACATCACAGAGTAAGGCCGCCCTATCTCATAACGCGCCACTGAAAAAAGCAACAGATGGAGATCGATCAACCATGCTGTTTTTCCAAACACACAACGGACTCACACACAGCTCTCAATCATGGCGTACATGGTGACACGGCAGACGAACAGGTAGGTATGAATACCTGTTGAGGTTGAGACCGGTGATGTTCTTAACAAGGGTGACCTCTGTGGCAAGGCGGGCCGTGAGAGCGCCGGTCGAATTCTCCTCTCGATCGAACCACTCCACATCTTGCCGGACGATACCTGTCACAATAATTACGGAGAGAAAAGATAACGGAAGAAAATATTGAAAC